ATACCCAGTATGCAGGTGATGAAGGTATATTGCTGCATAAGTAAGGGAAGTTGATGATTGAAAAGTTAAAGTCATCACGTTTATCATAATGCTTGGTTGTTAGATTACCATTAACGTCTTTTTCAAGTAAATGTCCAAATATGAAACAGATGTGTCAGACTCCGTGGTATCTTTTATCTCAAGTTCACAAGGATATATCGTATCGACATAAGAATGGAAATAGCCATTGTTAATTGACAATACGTCATTGATATATCTAAATGTCGAGTTGAAGGCCACAGCAAGTGTTTTCTTCTTTTCACGTACAAGATTTTGGACAAATTCTGCTTCATATGAATACAAAAAAGGTCTGCTAATAACGGGGCGCAATTGGTACCCATGGGAATTCCAATAGAGTATACTTTAATATTAAAGGTAACATCAAAGAAAAACTTGAAATAATTGAGATTCCAACTTTCACCTTCAATTTTTGTCGCACAATAGGCAATTTGTTTTACATCTTGTTCTCCCATATCTCCTTTGGACAATTAAAACAAACAATAAAAACCCTTTTGAAAACATGCTATCTATTAATAAAATAGGAAATTATAAATTGTTTAGAAACATGTATTGCAATAACTTTTAGAACATGTTCTTGATTATTGAATCGATTCAGAGACATATTAAATTAATTATACATGTACATGTGATAATGGTGATTCTGAAGATAGAAAACGGTATTTGACGAAGAATCTCAGTAAAATGATAATTATATTAGGTTATGATTTATATACTGACATGCATAATTTAAAGGGAAATGACTCTCGAATCCTTTATTAATTTTTAACAATTTTGGCGAATTAAATCCAAAAAAAAAGATACAATCAGCATTGATCTATGCACAATTTTTAACTTACTGTTCTTTGAAAGAAAAGAAATCTTAACATCTTTTGATAATTCAATGAGGCGGAATTCGAAGCAACAGACAAAGAGGTATCTAGGCGTGATATCGCAATATGAAGCAATAAGCGTAAAGTAGTATTGTCGATAGATTCACGACAAAAATAAAGCCACCTTGACTGTTTTTTCAAGAAGTGGTACAAGTAGAAAGTACTTAACTGCTTAAAGAACTCAAAAGCACTTTCAAAGAATTGATTTCTCTAAACATTTCAAGCATCAATAGCAACACCACATTTGACTTTTTATGCTTTAAATGCCATTCCTCATGAACAATAAAATAGACCCGGGGAACATGATTTGAAGAACTACCTGAGGGTGCTTCCGTGTAGTCATTACTAATCAGTGGCTTGTTGTTCTTAAAATACTTTGAAATACTTTCTGTATACATTCTTTTGTAAAACTTTGATCGACCACTGTGGTCCCACTCTACCCTTGGGCTCATGAGTTGAACAATCTTGAATTAACACTATGTAATGAAACGTTCACTTAAGTATAAACTCTTCTGGCCCAGTAGATCTTGAGAAGAAGGTTTTGAAAGATTTTTTCCTATACAAACTTTGATCATCTATGGTAGGCCCATCCTTCCCTCGGGGGTCATGGTCTGAATAAAATTCAATCTACACTTTATAATAAAGTTTTCACGTAAGTTTTAACTTTTCTGACACAGTGGTTCTTGAAAATATTTTTAAAAGATGCCACTAAATTTTTCTAATTTATCTTCCCTAAAAGGAGGACCTGGTCCTTCATTTGAACAAAATTGAATCCTCTTTATCCAATGATGCTTTGTGGCAAATTTGGTGGAAATTGGCCAGTAGTTTTTGATAAGAAGAACCTTGGCATATGATAGTACGTTAGTCCCGGATACAATTTTCTGACCGAAACTTTTTCTCCCTACAGTATTGCGGGTAATACTTAATAAAAACAACTTGTTTACTTATACATGTATATCTGCCATACACGTTTCTATCCTTTTGTTGTTTGTATGTCTCTCTCTCTCTCTCTATTTGTGTGTCAATCTTCTCTCTCTCTCTCTCTTTAGGAAATATTCTTTAACACAATATATCTGCGACAATATGTGCAAATGTTCACAATACATATTTCGGCGACGACAAAATGTGCCGATGCGTGACTGTACATATTGGCGTCCTTTATGCAGAAGGAAAAAAAGCTCGTCTCGGTACATATTGTCGCCGGCGACAATATGTACAGACGGACGATAATATGTGCAGTGAGGGTAGGTACATATTGTCGCTGACGCCAGTACCTGGTCTGTGTACCCCTGTCAATTAAGTGCGTTAAGGTACATCACTGGGTGCTAGAACTTGATTGACATTTACTTACTAGTCCCTGTGTATACCCTGTACACCTTGTTTGGCACTCGTGGTGACCTTCAAATTAACTTTTGATTGAATTTCTTTGATATTTACCACACATGGTATAAACAATAGAGAAGCTGTATTACTATGGAATTTTTAGCTTGATAATATATATACATACATACCTTTACTATTCGAAATAATTATGATATTCTTTATGATAATATATATATCAAAATTTGGTATAACTTTTTTTTTTCAAAGCTCAACAAATACTTTGAATAATAATATTCTTTAATGGGCGGGGATACTTTGACACATATTCAATTACAAATTAATAAAAATTATTGAGATTAAACTTTATTTACAACTTTTTATTTCTATTCTAAAATCATCTCAAAATCCCAACACAGGTAAAGATTGACTTCTTGGGTACTCTACTGTGTATTAAATCACTTCCTGTGTATAGGGATTAGCAGGTAGACTGCTAGCCCTCAGGGCATTCACTCCTGTACAAAATAAGCCCCTCCCTCACCTGGAATTTACCAGCCGGTAAAAAATCTCTGCCTTTAAAGATGATTCAAGTACAGATAAAAGGATTTTCGACATGGATATCAAGAAGCCACCTACTATCGATATTAAAGCTATCCATATAAACACCCATTAGGAGTGTGGGAAAGCTGAAAAGTAGTATTTATGACGGTATATATATGATAAACACTAGCCTAAAGGTGATTTAACGCAGGTGAGTTAAGGCTAGGTATAGGCATTTCTATGCAAATAAACTAATCAAAATGCCTAAGGACTATATCTATTATACAGAGAAAGTTAAAACTCATTGTAACCCAAGACATGAGTTAGCCAGTACACATTATGACGTCATATTATGACGTCATTGTTCTTTACTACTCAAGATTATAATGGACATGAACAAAAATGATCGGCTCAAGGTCATGCTCTATTTTTTTTAAACTGAAATAAGGTATATTTAGAAGCAAAATATTCCAAAGATTGCTGGTATTGCTGCGCAAATATCAACAGCTCAGTTGTATAATTTCTATTTATAAAGTTTTATGTTGAATCAGGGTAAAAATGTACTGTCCGGTATAAGTTTCCTCGAAATTCCGATCAAATGAGAAAATGGCTAGGATTTGTGCAGCAGTTTTATTGATCTTTAGAATATTCTTCTTAGCATTAGACAATTTTTATGTAAAATTAAATAAGGTAATCCCTTGCGCCGAAGCCATTTTGTTGATGTGTTTCATTACATCCAGTATGAAAGAACAATGACGTCATAATGTGTACTGGCTATAACATACAGTGGGTACTAAGTATGCATAAGAAAATAAATCAAAACTTTCTATGAATAATAAATATACATCTCATGAGTGTTTATTGGCTCATTTGCATAGAAACGCCTATACCTAGCCTTAATTCACATGCGAAAATTAAAATTCGCTTCGTTAACATGTAACAATTGAGTGTCCTGACTTTTGAGAACAGCTAGTGAAACATCAAAGGACTTTGAGCTGGGTGTCCTTTCGGTTCCAGAAGTAATGCTCTGGAATAATCAATGTTCGTGGATTTCGTGGGTCACCCTTATCCACATATCTATATATAAATGTATGTACATCCCCACGAAAAATTATTTTGTCAATTATATATTCATTAAATTTTCTGAGTATACGAATTATCCACGAAAAATTTATTTTACGTCCCCACGAACCAAACAATTTTTTTTTTACCCACGAACATTGACCCCCACAATTTGTAGAGAACGTTTCCATTGCTTTCGGGATATTGCATCGGCCATTCTGTTATATAGATCTCCTGTAGATACGTTCAACCATCTTCATTGCTCTATCACATTTGACACGGTTTGTATCTAACGTACACGTAATTATCGTCTTAGACATGTTTAATAATTGACATTGCCCCTTCACAACTGTCTCCCTTTGTATACGGAATATATAAATGCACGTAAAAGGCGTTTATCATTTGTGACGTTAGAAGAAAATCAGAACTTTACCTTTTGACCTCTTCATCCTAGGCTCCAAACACAGTTTTATATGCAAAATAGATGTAGGATGATAATATCTTTAAATCAGAACACAATATTCGAAGTTAGTTTTTTAATTTCAGAATTTAGAAATTAGAGTACATTCATTATAGATAATTCTCAATAAAACTCTTGAAAGTAAAATAAAAAAAAATAGCCTCTTCAAAGTATTCAAAGTTTTCCCGATTCATTTACATGGCTAAATGGTTTTCAGAATAAAACAAAAGTACAAAGATAATAAGATACTTTTTTCTCTTATCGGTGTTTCTATCAATTTGACTTGTTATAAAAACTGCTGCTTCTTTCGTTTTAAACTTATGGTGATAAAATAAGAAAGCTGAGAAGATAAAACTTAATCACTTTTTGACCTAAATAAATTAATAATCATTTAATTTCGATTCTGATTGGATAAAAAATTCTTTTGATAACTGCATCAATAAAATCTGGAGTTCACTTGCACGTAGCAGCCGAAACTACTTTGGCTAACTTTACATGTATATCTCCTGCTTCCATATTACTTTGTGAAAGAAAAACGAAATACTTTTACTCTATTTTCCTGAATTTCAGAACTTGTCCGTTACGTTCCTGAGTTATTTTCTACTTTCGTTTCTTTTCGAATTTTTCCCCTTTAGTAAACAAATCGGATCGTCTGTATTGACAACAATGCAGTTGCGGGAAAAAAGGAAAGAAATCATCATACGTATGTTAAATATTTGTCTTTGAGATAACTGGTATGAACAATAGAACTATGAAGAAATGTTTTTATGCTACCAAAGCGGGGAAATGTCGTTAATCAGTTAATTCTTAGGAAACGAATGCATGAGAAAAACGACGCGACACTGAGCGAGGACGGAATTCTTTCCAAGTTATACAGTCGACAACCATATTTTGAAGCATGTTGTGTTATGAATGGGCAGGTTGTGATACGTATATATTTGTTCGGTTTGAAATACAGATGAAGAGATGCTCAAATGAAATCCAAAATTTTTGTGATCTAGAAAGAGTTGTTAAATTTGAGTAGCTTCCCTTTACATTTACAAACCTAAAGACATCAGCTTACTTGTGAAATATAACCATTTGGATATAGCAAAAATTAAGAACACAACAGGTAAGTTTTTTGTGTTAAAACTCTTATTGTTAGAAAAAAGCTGGTAATGACACGACAATATTTGAAAACGTTTGTTCGTCATTCTTTAATAAGCAGCTGAGCTAGGCCAGTAGTACAAGAAGCCTGGATGGGTGGGTATTTTTGGGTCCGGGTGGGGCGCTGGCTGGGTCTTTTGGGTCCATGAGTACATTTGGAGGGTATAGGGGGTCAACTTAGTACTTGGGGGGATGGGGGGTTCAATTTAGTACACTTGGGGATAGGGGGTCAATCTAGTACACCCCTGGAGGGGATAAGCGGGTCAACCCTCTCCTTTGGTTAAGGCAAGACTTTAGATCTACGTTTGTGCTACAGTATTAGATTTATTAATTTATTTCATAAATCTGTAATATATTTGATATGTTTTAAATTGTAAATATAAATTCATTATTAAATCTTTAAAGGTCACCCAAGTAGAACAGGCAGTACCTGTACTTAATTATTATTGTATTCACTGTTTTCATTGGTTTGGACTTTGTAAGGTTGTGTTTTATTGGTTCAGTATTTTTCCCTCCAAAAAGTTGTTGTTTGTTATGGTCATTCTTTCTCCAGTATTTGCCCAGAGAAGGTTATATATACTAAGTTTTGTATTTACGACCTTTTGACATTGACAGAGACAATACTTTTCTCTATTAAGGTAAGATAACATTTATATACTGATTCTAATATGATTTTTAATATTTGATTTAACTGTAAAATCTGTAATTTTGCCAAAGTTAATTCTATAGCACTAGCACAGTCAGAATCTGACTTGGGAGACAGTATATAAGGAGTAACAATTTTATTGAAAGTATTTTTTATTTTATATATGTCTACTAGATATTTTTATAATGAAAGGTTTACTTATGTAAACTATGATAATTTGTAGTTTTATGATCTGGACATGTACTGTGAGCCATATTGACTACGATGAATGGGAGAGGCTCAGTCCCATAGATTGGTATGATATTTATGATATTAATGTTTTTATACATTTTATGACAATCCTGAAAAAGTAAAGTCTGTGTAGACATTATTGCAGCATATAAATCAGTTTTTGTTGTATAAATGTTTTTGTTTTTCAAAGCGTAATATAGAAAGGGGGTATTGATTATATGTAAATCATGTACAGAGTTATCTCCCTTTATTCAGCGAATCTGTTAACCGCAGATTGTAATTACTGTATTGATACGGATATGTCAGAATATTTTATGCTATGTATTTATTATTTGTTATTATGATTTTTCAGGGCATTATTACAAATATTCCTTCATTGTTCCATTATTCCATTTTCCAACTATTTTATGACTGTTCATCTGTGTATGTAATAAATGGAGATGTCAGTAGAACCCTGAAACGGACTTATTTATATTTCCATGCACCAGATTTTATAATAAGACACCGTTAAATTTGTACTACGTCTTGGCAGCGATTGAAATTTTTTGATTGTGACGTCATGTCATTTACAGAGCAAGCCTCTATTTTCTGAAAACCTTCAAAAACAATAACACAGTAAAAACGATTTATTCAAAGCAAATATACATAATCATATCCTGTGTTTCTGGTAAGGTATCTCTTGCATTTTCCTCTGCCATATTTCTACGTCTGTCTAGTTCATAACTGAATGACTTACGTTTTTCATATCAATTGTTAGACTCTTATTTACACACTATTTTCTATGGATTTTCCGTTTTCCTGATCGTGACAAGGAGCACACGGCTGGTGTGACCGGTCGAAATGGGATGCTTATTCCATGGCACCTGATCCCATCTCTGGTCTTTGCTCTGTTCCAGGTTGTATTGTATCAATGGACTTTTGAGCTTGATTACTGTTCGTTATCTCTATAATTAATTGGTTAATAAACGAGTGCCCATCGGGAGACCTGGTCTATAAAGACTATAGATATTGTATTTGAGAAACTCCAGTATCTTTTTAATATCGTCTTCAAAGTATATGAGTGTAGAATCAGCAGAATAAAGTAATTTTGTAATGAAATATGGAGATAACAAGCAGTATATAAGCTCAATGTCCATTTGTTTTATACTGAAATTGACTACGGAATGTTCCGTCTACCTGATCCATACACAGAACATACGGCTGGTTTGACCGCTCATAAGGGATGCTTACTCCACCTAGGCACCTGATTCCACCTCTGAAATTTCGAGGGGTCCGTACTTTATGCTCTCTTCACATATCTGAATTGTTTATAGATTTTTTTGAGATCGATTTCTGTATACTTTACATTAGATAATACAAATCACACGAACACGGCTAAACGGAAAAATCCAAAGAAATTTTAGTGTGTTAATAATGGCCTTACAATTAATAGGGAAAAAAGTCAGTCAGAATTTGACCTAAAAATAGATTGTATTTGCAGATAAGGTCATTGTATGGACCATAGAACTTGCAAAATGATGACTTCAAAAGAGGCTGTTGATATCCGTGTTTCATCAACTTGTTGATTAATAGCTTGCCTGGTTTTAAAAATTGATCGCAATAAGAGCATATTCGAATTATCTGTGAGACATAAACCCCACATTCTGGTGATAAGGATATATTGCTATTTAAGTAAGGGAAGTTAACGATCGAAAAGTTGAAGTCATTAAGTTTATCCTCCTTTTGTATCAACATGCATTAAAAAAGGACCAAAACTAACAAAGTAATTTTTTTTTAAAAAATGGATCCAGATCAAGATCCAGATCGGGGGGTTTTGGACAACTTATTAACGAATATACATTTCAGGTGTTAACGTTCTTGTTGGCCTAAAAAAGATATCTTTTTTAAATTGTTGTACACAATGCACATTTGATTACGTTATATTATATAACTGATTTTTTCCAGGCAGAGAATTTCATGCTTGACATGAACGAGGATGAATATGGAAAAATTACAAAGTAGGTATCTTCAGATTACTCTATGAAAAGTGTATAGATAACACACAGTAGTCGTTCTAAAAACAAAACAAAAAAAAAACAAACAAACGATACAAATCTTCTATTTCGTCCCACTACTTTTACACTGAATTATCTACGGATTTTTTAGTCTGTCTGATTGTGTCAAGAAGCACAAGGCGTTAGTGCCCAGTCGACAGGGAATGCTTACCTTACCTGAACCTGTTTTTATAGGGTAATGTTTGCATAGTTTTTTTTTTTTTTTTTTTTTTTTTTTTTTGCTTTTTTATATTGTTTCAATGGATTTTTAACTCGATTACTTTTCGATATTGTCATATTCCATCTTTGAACATCTGTAAACAAGGAAAAAACGAATCCAGGAAATATCAGAGGTAGAATCAGGTGCCTAAGAGGAGAAAGCAACCCATTTCGATCGACGACTTCCGCAGTGAATCGTGAGTAGTCAAATTACTGAAATAACAACGGCTTAATCAGTATTCTTTTCAATATTTAGCCTTATGTCAGAGCTAGAATCCAATGTTATATTCAAAATCAATATATCGGCGATGTTAGAATACAGAATAGACAACGGTATACCAATCAGATTTCCGTAAAACATTTAGGCTCTGATATTTATACTTGTACTTACCAACTGAAAGATCAATTTTAGATTCTCGTAGGAGCGCATAAGATTGTTTTACACACTGCAATATGAACATCCCTTGTATTATCTGTTTAAATATTTTCTTCTTTACATGGATCCAAGCTACTGATGTTTCGTGGAATTTTTACTGCAAACCTAGAACTTGAAAATAAAAAGTTTAATAACGAACTTTTGAGAGAATACAGTGCTCAATCTTTGTGTGTTTGTTCCACGATGTGTCAAGAGGACTGTGGTTTCTTTGGATACACTCCTCGTATGAAGAAGTGTCGTGTTCACAGGAAAATCTGTACATCTGAAATATCTTATAAAGCTGGTTCTTATCGTTTGTATAAGTGTAACTACTTTGTATTTTTAACACATACACATCATAAGATACACTTCAGCACAATAATTATTTTAGTAATTGAAGCAGTTTGAAAAGATCTGTAATATTTATTCTGCAAGATTATTTTCTGGATTTTTTCCAAAAGCTATCCATCTGGGTAACCAATTGTTATTATTATTCGAAATATCTTGATACCATGATACATTTATTTTGTGTTTCCACTATTTCCTCTACTGTATACTTCTGAAAGAAAACAGATTTAGTCAAATAATTACAGGACCAGGAATAGAAATTGATACAAAGTAAAACTGACCAGGGCAAAACCAATAGAAAATATCAAATTCTCGAGACAAGGAAAAGACTAGAAAGTTATTAAAAAAAAGGAAATGGGAAAAATTCAACTAGCACTAAAACTAAACTACGAGGTCAAATATATTAAAAGTTTTACATGTTCAATTTGAATGTAAGAAAAACAACTGATCTAAAAAAAAAAAATCAGGACTTTTATGAAATACGTCCGGTCTGAATGTTATAGTGTGGTTATTAGAATTTTGTCATAGAAAAGGACAATTTCTGTATACAGAATTTACTTTGTAGCTTTAAAGATTTACAAACGTCTAAAAAAAAAGTCGACCCCCTCTTAGTTGTTATCTGTGTGGATGGGTGGGCGTCCGAAGAGTAATACAATTATTGGAAATATAATATATTAAAAAAAAACTGCAAAATAGGAACTCTCTACTATAGTTAATAATTATTGTTATTACGATCAATGTGGCAATCACACTGTAACACCTTCTGTATATTTTTTTAACCTTTAATTTATCCATATGTTCACTATAATGTTTCAGTTTTTTTCATAATTTCTGCTTCAGCTCTTCCTATTGATTGTAAGGATCCTGTGCAGATGGTCACGCTAATTCAGGCCTGTACGAGATTTATCTCTATGGGGCCAGGAATTTTACAGTTAGAGTTTACTGTGACATGTAGACAAGGGACGGTGGATAGACTGAGTATCAACTGAGTATGGGCGACCAAATATGCCCAATTTCAAAATAATGCTCTACCAACTGCTTAATACTACTAACATACGTAAACTAATTATGGAAAGTGACTGTAAGATTTAGTGTACTCACTCGTCACCTTGCGACATTGCTATGCGGGTTTGTTATGGTCAATGGCCTTTTCAGTCCTCAATAATATTCATTAAACAGCATTTCATCTATAGCCTGGCCAAAAGCTGATAAATATGGATGAAATATATTATAAAAGAAATTTACCAACTGTTCTATATAGCTATCTCACAAGTCTTTGAAATTGCTGGTAGAATGCTTGCAGGTCTATTGTCACCAACTTTCAACTGACTATTTTTCTTTTGAAGTGGAACAACATGTGCCTCATTAAGGTTTTCTCACACATTGTTCAAACGTTTTATTAATTAGCATGGTGATCGGTTTTGCTATTGCAGTATTTAAATTTTTTTGGAGATGCAATCCTTTGATTTCAATTTTTATTTATTTGGTGTTCGATAAAAATAGGTTTAAATTCCATTCAATTTTCTATATGTATGATATATAGACATATGAATATCAAAAACTGCTGCATGAAAAGAAGAAGTCTTCTGCTGTGGCCGTCAATTCAACATTCAATATATCGACGACGTTTTATCAATTAACAATATTCATTTCATTTTCAGTCCTACTTCGATTCGATATAGCCTTTTCAAGTCAAAATAGAAGATTCCACAAATAACATGCATTAAGAGTATGACAGTACAACACACTTATAGCCAACATGTATAATGTATTTCTTATAAAACTGATTGCTCTGGACCAGTCAATACATGTATATACACGTACAATCAAATTCTAAACTAATTAGATTTGTTTTCTTTTAACGATGACAGACCTATTTCATTTCTGCAATAGATTTTTTATTCAAATTTTAATATGAAGTAATGTGACTTTCAGTGAGTTAAAATCAATAAAAAAAAATCATATGGTCATCGATGTAGATTTTTAATGGGGAGCAGTTTCAAAAGTTGGCAATGGAAATCGATAATTACTATAGGAGGTAATGGGAAATTGATTGATTGATTGATTGTATGTTGTTTTACGTCCCATTCGAGAATTTTTCACTCATATAGAGACGTCACCATATACCGGTGAAGGGCTTCAAATTTTGACCTTTACTCGGCACTTAGGGCCATTGAGCAGTGAGGGATCTTTATCGTGCCAACGCCTGCCGTGACACGGGGCCTCGGTTTTTAAGGTCTCATCCGAAGGACCCGCAACTTTCACTTCAAAGTGCCGAGCGCATGGCGAAGGAACAGTTGCTACCTATTTTTTATCGACTTAGGTCTGTCGCGGCCTAATGGGAAATTGACAGAGTAAGGTATAAATCTGAGTGATCATTGAAAAAAAAATTCTGCAATAGATTTTTTCTCATTTTAAAGACAATGTTAACAAGACAATTTACCAGCAAATTATGCCAAAAAATAAATGGGTCATCAGCTTAGATTTTTCAGGGGGGCATGTCAAACTCAAGTGTAGGGCACATTTTGGGGGAAATTTTCAATGAAAATACCTTGGCCAAATAAATCATTTATTTATGAATATAAATCGAAATATTTACAATATTTTTGAATTGAGAGGAAATGTTTGAATATCTTTATAATAATTAAAAATGTATGTTTTTTATCTTTTGCAATACATAATAAAGTCAATTTGATTCAAGGCATATGCACGGTTTTCTGGGCAGTGGCGTGAAATTTCGAATTAGGTCTGTCATTCTTAAGCCATCTTTATGAAAGATAAAAAAGTGTAAAAGGTCAACCTTGATGGTTCTTCCATCAGTGCATTTAGTATGCATCCATAATACAATATTTTACATAATGCCAGTTTTATCATATATAATGAATAATTTACACAGCAATAAATATAAACAATAAAATGCATTTCTTTCTTTTTTTCTTTTTTTTTTTTTTTGAAATGGGTACACACATTGCCAAGAAAAGTTTATATAAATCAATAATACTGGTTAAGTATTTCCTGCAATTTCCAACAATTTATTCCTATTATATAAACAAAGGAAGACATTTTATTGTTTAAGTAACTCACCAATGGACATAAGAAATGATGGAGACATGAGTTCAAAGTATGGGAAAGTTTGTAGAACAAAGAAGTAGGCGATGTTACCAACCAAACCTACGACGATCATGTACAGGGGCAAATCCTCAAACAACAAAAGACCAATAAATATCACAGTGGTGCCCTGGAGGAAAAAAAACATGTTTGGTAAATGATGTGTTAGTTCAAATCTATCCTCTAATAAAAGTTCTAAAATAGTTTCATGGTTACAACTTTAAACTGTTACTGCATAATTAATCTTGAGCTATGAGCAGAGATTTATATACTAGCTGATATCCTTCTTCAGACAGAGTAAATTATTATTTGGATAAAAACAAATCACTCTGAAAATTTCATTATACTGTCTCTACAGGGCTCTCGATTCTCTATAGTTGGGGCCGTTGAACGGCCACATTCCCAATGCCAAAAAGGTACCTTTTTCCCCAAAGCAAAGTGTAAATTTCCCAATTTTCTACAGCAAAAAAAAAAAATCTTAAATGATGACACTTAATCGCCAACAAGTGAAAGTGAAAAAAACTAGTTCTGTGTATGACTGTATTAATTAATTAGTTCACACTACCTATATTCGTAAAGAACCAGGTTTTCCCAATTTTCCCCAAAATGAAAATAATTTTCCCAATTTGAATGGCTCTGGCCCCAGTCCCAAAAATTGGTGTGAGAGCCCTGCTCTAAAAATCCTTGTAGGGGGTGTATTAATCATCGGGGTGAGATTCTGTTCTACAAGTGACTGTTGTAACCAAAGAGTGGTAAGTAGTTTGTTCAATATTTTGGATCATATATTAAACTCTGATGTTATTATAATAAAATTGTATGAAGTATGTGATGTTTGAATTAAATTTTATCAAATGCATGTATGTAATCCACTAAAATTTTGAAAATAATCTTGTAAGGATCTTCAGCAGGATAAATTCATTACACAGTCAGTCACTCAGTGTGGGAAATAAAACAGAGTCATCTAGCACGTAAAATGGAAATCTATACTGGCTCTCTGCTTCTTGTCACCCAATACAGATTTAATCCAATTTCACACAATGGATAACTCCATATAATATATCCCAATCTAATTATAACTTACAATTCTTACATACATGAACTAAGTACATGTCTCATGATATAAGCTTACACTACAATTACTTACTATCAACATATATTTTATAATTCTTGCTGTAAGTACTGTGTATTCTTCTACAATTTCTGCCAGGTAAAACAACCCAGCCGCTGCAAAATTAAAGGAAAATTTAATTGGATAATATGGACTAGATAAGGAAATTAATATATGAGAGATTTATAAAATAGAATTAAGTAAAGCTTCTATCATGTTTACAATGTGTTTACAGATGAACAGAAAAAAACTGGTCCAGCACAATACCCTGATAAAGGTATATAGCTTGATAAAGCTATATAGCTTTATCAAGGTATTACAAATACCTTGATCAAGGTATTTTATGTAATGAAAATACAAAAAAAAAAAATAAATACTGAAAGTCGAGTTCTGAGTTGTTGTCAGTAAATTCACTCATGCATGTGAAGTACTCAAATGCAAAGAAATCAGTATAAAAGCATGTCATGTGAGGAGACGTTCTTTTATGCTGTCTTTTTGATACCTGAGTACTTTTCATGCACGAGTCAACACAATGACCACAACTTATAAGTTGACTTTTAAATTTAATTTTTAAAGATTTTTTTTTGTATTTTCATTACATAAAATACCTTGATCAAGGTATTTGTAATACCTTGATAAAGCTATATAGCTTTATCAAGCTATATACCTTTATTGAGGTACTGTGCTGGACCTGAAAAATGTAGATCAATCCCTGTTGATCCTGTTACACCTGCGTCCACAGATTAGCTGTTAATATCCCCCATTGTCTCCTTGGACAATAACTGCAACTCTGTAGATACTTATATATCCCTCTACAACAGGTGACACTTTGAGAGGTCTCTTACACTGCATTGACTTATCTCAAAATCTGATTTGCACTGCAGCCAATTTATTTTTCTTTTGAAACAGAAAGCTGGCGGATAATTTTTTCATTACTAAGATATCCCAATTTATTTAATGAAAGGTGATATGCCGTAAAATGACATTTGGGCTATGACAAAATGAGTTACACATGTACTTGATAATGGGAATGGTCGTAATTTTTCGAGGAAATTCGAACGTACACAGAATTTATCGTGATTAAAAATCTGGCTTACTTACCCACGGATAAAGTTATTACACATATCTGTATAATTAGTGCAATCCAGCTTAATAGGTACATGAACCACATGTTGATTAATTCATACAGTATACTAGGGATGCGAAATACGTTTCAGATTCAGAGGCCGGGTAGATTCCCGATTTATCTCCCCCTTAGCAATTGTCAAGTTGTGCATTGATGTGTCGGATATAATACGTTGTACAACAGACCGAAGTAAGGATGGATGTGATAACCATTTCCAAGTTATTTATTGGAAGAGGTTTTATTTTTAATCTATACCCGCACGTTCTAAAGAAAGTTCGGGTATATTGTTTTTTCTGCCGCTTGCCGAAAGTTGGCTTTCTTTTGAATAAGACTATTTTTAAAATCTCAAATTTATTTACTTGCTGTTTATTTGAATTTTTTAATGAACAATTAAGAATAAATGATAATTTATTACTGAGCTTTATGTATGTTAGCAAATGATAATAATTATAATAAAAATAACAAGAGGCCCAGGGGCCACATCGCTCACCTGAGCACTATGGCTAAAAAAAAGCAGAGATCAGTTCAGTCTTGAAAGGTTGAAAAGTTTAAATATATATAAAAGTGGTTCGGGGGGGGGGGGGGGGCATGAATTGAACAAATTTGAATCTACATTACCTGAAGATGTTTCCATTTAAATATGACCAATCATGGCTTTGCTGTTCTTGAGATTTTTAAAGATTTTTCCTATGTATTCCTATGTAAAACTTTGATTACCCATTGTGGTCCCACCCTACCCCCGGGGGTCATGATTTGAACAAACTTGAATCTACACTATCTAAGAATGCTTCCATATAAATATGACCAATCATGGCTTTGCTGTTCTTAAAAAATAGGTTGTTTTTTTTTCTTAAAGATTTATTCCTATGTAAAAATTTGATCGCCCATTGTGGCCCCACCCTATTCCCGGGGGTCATGATTTGAACAAACTTGAATCTACACCAACTGAGGATGCTACCATGTAAATATGACCAATCATGGCTTTGCTGTTCTTGAGAAGAAGATTTTTAAAGATTTTTCCTATATATTCCTATGTAAAACTTTGATCGCCCACTGTGGCCCCACCCGACCCCCGGGGGTCATGATTTGAACAAACTTGAATCTACACTACCTGAGGATGCTTCCACATAAGTTTCATATTTTCAAGCACAGTGGTTCTTCAATCTAATTAAAATTAGATGTTCCGAATCCGCTACCGCTTCTCAAACATCTAACAACATCCCATTCGGGGTCACGTCAGAGCGACCTTTCGATTACGAATAAACATAAAAATTTTGGCCAATCAGATTCAACCTTCTGTATACAATTCTAAAATTAGTTCCACGGCTACTTCTTTACATTATTGATGCTCAGTAGACTGTCTTACGATGAATTAAAGTAATTTTGGTATAAATTGAACTATAGTCCGCCAGTCTGGCATTCTTACCTGAATAACGCAAACGAAAATGCACAAACTACTATATATCCCGCACGTCACATTCATATATAGCACGGTCTTCTCCATGCATATTTTGTTTACTACGAAACCCCTCGGGCGTTTAAGTTTGGCAGTGAAAAAAGAATCGCATCCGAACTATAAGCCAAGATTTCGACGACGGCAATTTCATTGGGTAATCGAAAGGTCGCTCTGACGTGACCCCGAATGGGATGTTGTTAGATGTTTGAGAAGCGGTAGCGGATTCGGAACATCTAATTTTAATTAGGTTGAGTGGTTCTTGAGAAGAAGATTTTTTTAATGATGCCATTCATTTTTCACGAATTCATAATTATCTCCCCTTGAAAGAAGGCGTGGCCCTTCATTTGAACAAACTTGAATTCTCTCTACCCAAGGATACTTTGTGGCAAGTTTGGTTGACATTGGCCCTGTGGTTCTGGAGGAGAAGTCGAAAATGTGAAAAGTTTACAGACAGACAGACGGACTACAGACAAAATGTGATCAGAAAAGCTCATCTGAGCCTTCGGCTCAGGTGAGCTAATAAATAAAAATAAATAATAAAAATAAATAAATAATGAATAATTTTTTCAAAGTACGTTAAATTGGGACCAAGTTAACACACTTTGAAAAAAAAAATCTTTTCAAAGTCCGTTAATATCGACCATACTAACGCACTTCGGAGAAAAAAAATGTGCACGGCTTGGGTAACATTCTTACAAATTTAAGGTATGATAAATAATTAATTGAACCTGGTTGGGTAACTTTTCGGTGATGACGTCACTTCAGGATCTGAGATATAGACGTTTTAAAGATTTTTAGGGGTTGTCTTGTTCCCAAAGGTTCTCGTAAATTTTATAAAAGGGAAATGGGTCTTTAGAAATAATGGAGGAATGATTGATTAATGGAACAAGTGCGTTTCTTTTTTTTTATTTTATCCATGCAGTCTGTAATAAGTTTGTAAAATGTAAGGGTCGATAAGTGACTTAAAGCGTCGCATTTTTAGAGCAATTATGAATTTTCCCTACCCCCCCCCCCTCTCTCTCTCTCTCTCATAGAGAGTTATTATATCTATCATATTCATTTATCTATTTATTGAGAACGTATAGAAAACAATGGTTGACTCATTTATTTGATAGGAAGAAATAAACTTTAGCCACATTACTCCTTCGACTGAAATTTTTACCTCGTTCACTAATAATTTTTTCTCAAAAAAAAATCTTATAAACAAAAGTTATGCAGTCAGATTACATCTAAATCTGTAATTTGATGTCATGAAAAGGCTAGACATGTTAAAGAGCATGTTTTAATTACCCTGTACATTCCAGTATAGTCAGTTAGCTATTGTTGTTAGATCAGCGTTATGGCCCAAAAACTTCCAAATGGAGAAACAATTGGACTCCATACCTCATACAAAGATTGCTTATGAACCGAAGGTGTGTCATGACCTTTACCCAAGGTCATTTGATCTATGTCCAGAACACATGTGGAAAAATATTTGATTCCTGTTCTAACCAAATCTTGTAATGGAGAAATTAGAGGCTCATAGTTATCACAAATATTGCATATGACCTGAGAGTAATTACTGACATTAACCCAAGTTCATCCCAGCACTTTCAAGGTCACTGGCAGAAAAATTGTTACTTGAGTCTGTTTTGTATCTCTAAAATGGAGGCTAATTGGAGTTGTTTCTCCATTTGGAAGTTGTTGGCCAAACACAAGTTATATACTTTTTCTGTCAATGGCCTTGAACTTTCATAAAAGTTTTTGTGTAATATCAAATTCACTTCCGTTGACTGAAATGTTCAAAGTATTAAAGACTGGAACGTGACTTTAAAGGATTTCATGCTGAGAAAGGGAACAGCAAGTTTAAGTTGGATTTCCAAACGTATATATTTAAACAGTTAAAGGCAGTCTTCAAAAATATCGTTATAATAATGGGCGATATTGTTACAAGCCTTGTCAGCTTCATTAAGTCTTTCTAAATACTTCTTTTATCACTTTCCATTTACTCAAAACGGATTCTAGAATATACGTCTAAAATACTTCATCCATTCTGACAAAAAGACGAGGCCATGACCTTCATATTTAGCCCACCTATCATATACCTGTACGGAATGCTAACAAAAATAAACTTCTTGCGCAATTTAAAAGATCGGGGCTCTCCCTTTCATGACTGTTTTCAGGTTGTCATTTTCAAGTATATTTGGATCGGCGGTTTATCTGCGACTTTATACATATGTCATATCCCTTATAATCAGTTGTTCATAACGCTTCCACTACACTGTGTGATAAAAATGTCGGTCTTAGTTGCGTCACACTGGTAGTACCGTAATGTATATCATTTTCTAAGAATTTTCCATTTGTCTTGTATAAAATGAATGCATAAAAATTCAACTAGAAGAATGCTCATGAATACTGCAGTTTTAATTATATTTCAATAATATTTAGATGCATTTTTTTGGAAGAACTGGTAGAAACAAACTATAACTACAGTAAGATGTATTGGTCCGGATGAATACCGGGTACTATTATTACAAAGGCGTCGACTTTGTTAAGAAATTAAGAAAACCAGAGTTTTCAATAATACCCTTCGCATTTATTGGGTTCCAACTAAAGAAAAGAGACTTCGTAGAGATACTTGGAAAGTATAACTCTCCGAACGGGAGACCAGAACTAGTATCCAGTTTCTGAAGGTGTCGGAGTCTGAAGGTGTCGGAGGGCCTTTGAAGAAAGTAATAGGGGAATAATTAACATGTGCCCAAATGGTACAGTGACACCCAGTCCGTTGTCAAGGTGATGTCTCGCCCTCAAATCCTAAACCATTATTTTTATTTATTTGTATGATTAAAGAGTAAAGTCTGTATTTAAGTCTTAAGAAATATATTTTGTTCACAAAAATTAGATCTGAATTTTAAAATATGATTTATTTACGTTGAAATATTGAGAAAACTGCCTTTGAAAATTGCATCAGTTGATGTTTGATTGATTGATTGTATGTTGTTTTACGTCCCATTCGAGAATTTTTCACTCATATAGAGATGTCACCATATACCGGTGAAGGGCTTCAAATTTGGACCTTTACTCGGCACTCAGGGCCATTGAGCAGTGAGGGATCTTTATCGTGCCAACGCCTGCCGTGACACGGGACCTCGGTTTTTAAGGTCACATCCGAAGGACCCCATCAATTGATGGTATTTATGACAAAAGATACTTAACTATTGTTTACTTTGAATATCTATGTAATGATTCATTAAACAGGGAACCCGGTTCGACCCAAAGTGAACGTAGACCAACCTTTAAACCTTTGTAATCTTATATGCTTTGGAAAGAAATATGTTTCAAAACTTTTTAACGACTAAGCCAGGTAAATTCTTTCCCTGCATGATTAATCACCTCCGTTATGCAACATCTTTACCAAGCTCGTATTTTATTTCTTTCTACTGAATTCTATAAAACTTTTTCTTAATGGAAAAAATAACTAGTAATTGTTTTTCTATTGCCTTTGGTTTTAATTTCTGATTTACGATATCTATATAGGTTTTAGAGATCAAGTCTTCCAACAGTTTCCATGGGTACCAATTGCGACCCGTTATTAGAAGACCTATTTTTGTATTCATATAAAGCAGAATTTATCCAAAAACTTATACATAAAAGAAGGATCGTACCTGGCCTTCAATTCGATATTTAGAT